AAACAATTAACAACAATGAAGAAAGACGTATCCATATCTACTCAGCCCATTCGTGTAAAGAGTTCCATTTACCACAAAAGGGGAAAGCAAAAGTACAAGAAACGCTCTAAGACCTGTCTTTTTCAATTCGCTTTGCATCGTCTCGGTGTGGAAACACTGAGTTACACACGAAGAGCAGCAAGACAACTCACTTCCTCACGATGAGGACTAAGATGGGTCTCTGAAAGCGAATCACTGTTGAACAGTTTAATTAAGACTTACTTCGTTGCTGGGGAACCGTGTATGACGTGTCGTCTAAAACGGTAATCTCATAAAAAAGGGAAGTAGTTTTTTGGGAAGTTGAAAAGCTGTGGCGACTTGAAATTGAGTGTTAAAAGAGAGGTAACAAAGTTCAACAAATGATAGTATGACCTCTGGCAGCAAGTCAAAATAGACACACACCAGGATACAGTAAATGTAACGTAACGCTTCGTATTCTTTCAAAATAACTCTTGAGGTCTGATTTAACACGCGATGAGGAGGAGAATGGTTGAAATTAAAATGTCTTTAAAAATCGTGAAAAAAAAATCAACTGCAAGTCGTCGCCCTTCGTAAAGATTACGAGCTGAAGTGGGAAAGAGCATGCCCGAAAAGACTTTTTTTTCCCCTTAAATATTGGCACGAAGGAAATGTTATGAACTGAAAGGGTTTTGTTCGAATAAGTAGATACACTGTCTTTCTCAGTTGCACGTCTCCGAAAACTTATACATCTACGAGGGGGGCACCGGGATCTATACGAAACCGAAAAATCGTAGAAAAAAATCATCCAAAACCGCAAAACCGCGAAAAAAAAATAATGATAATAATAAATAAATAAAAATAAAAATCGATCAAAACCGTAAACCGCATGTGAAACACATCCCAGTTACCAAAAGCCCTAATCGATCCGATACACTGGTGACGAGTGAACATGCAGAAATTTCGCGGCTATTCGAGATCAGTAGAGGCGCATAATTGCCGCTCAGATCGAATAGAGACAAGAGAAACTGGAACCGAACGAACCAGAAAGGACATCGGCTACCAAAAAAATAATAATGATAATAATAATAATTTATCAATATATAGTGCGCTTTTTAACATGTAATGATCAAAGCGCATCGAAATCCGAAAACTTGTTGGTATTTTGCACGAAAACTGAAAACCAAATGCTAGAGAGCGGAAAATCTGCAAACTGCAATGAACACCAAAACCGAATAATCGAAGTTTTTTTGGCACAAAATCTGAAAAAAATTGATCCTAAAAAATATAGCCAAAACCGCAAAATCGAAAGTCCCAATCCCCCTCTTCCGCTACTTTGCTGACCTAACTTTTTCGGACATATCAGTCTAAGTCAACTGACGGGACTGACAGCAAGCGTTGTTGAGTCTTGAAGAATCCTGTAACAGCCAACATTCTAAAATTCTTCAAGATCAGTGGGCTGCCGAGTGCAGCGAATAATTCGAACATGAAACACATTCAAGATACATGTGCCAGCCTTTTCGCTGTTTGATGAGCTGTTGCCAAGTTCCTGCTGTATGTCGCCGAGCATTGAGTTACAATTCCCGTTCACAGACTAGGCTTAGAATATTATCTTTAAAACTTAATATTTTTAGCAAAAAAGAAGTCGTCTTTCGTTCGTGAGTTATCCCAATTAGGAACTGAGGTAAAGGAAATATTGGGGGAAGCGCTCGATCGAATGTGTTGTTTGACGCTTTTTTATCTGGTTGGTCTATTGACCTTAGGTCATCGATTTATTTGAGTTTCTATCAACCGTTTTTCTTAGCCATGCTCAGAATGCAAGCTATAGTAATGATACAATTACTTTTCGCGCGCTCGTAACATGTAACCAACCCCAGGCTTACATCCCTTCAACTCAGCCGTCGCTCATACTCATCATAGATGGTGTTTTGAAGGAGCTGTTTGCTAAATTTAGGCTAGTCACGATCATTACAGTAGATATCTAATGATAACATACATCTCACTACAGGACCCGTGAGAGTTTTGAACTGATGTGTTCAATCATTAAACAGCTTTCTCTATGAATTCTAAAAAGAAATGAATTTTTTCCAGACCAAATAGTTCTGTCATGGAAGAATTGCCTGTCAGAAATAGTTTTATATATGTACAAACGATGGCGTAACTGTGTTATAATAGATGCCCATAGTTAAACGAATCTTAACTTTCAAATTGCGTTTTCCAGCTGAAGCAACACCCAGCTAAATGAAATAACGTAAATAGTCATGTTTGTTTTGCTGCTGATGAAGTTCCTGTGTAGTTTAATAACGCACGGGTTTCAAGGAAGTGTTTATGACAAGACCCGTGCGAGCAGAAAGGAAGAAAAAACATGTTTTGAACGCAAACCAATACCAAAATTTGTATTCTTTGACTAATGTCACTCCTGTCACGGAGCTGTGCTAAAGCTGTCACACCGTCTGCCAATTTGTACTATGTCCGACTACGCCTGAGACTTCTCTTTAGCTTTCCTTCGTTGATTGAAACTGAAACTTGCGAACAAGCGAGCCGGCAAAAAGCAATAGAAGAACCAAACAAAGGTTTGTAAACGTGCCAAGCGCCGTAATTGACGTTATTATAACGTTAGCAGAGACAAAAATCCTCGAAGAGAAAACGAAATGGACAGTACCAGTTTTGAAGGTTTCCTTACTCAGATACTTACATACGGTAATAAAAATCAAACTCAGCCAACACTCGCATAGTAAATGTGGTTTCGTGTTCAATAGCAAAACAGAGCAAAACCAGAATGGTGAAAAATATACCTAAACTAGCATAACTGTTAAAAATTCATACAAATCAGGGCAGCGTCAGAGCGACTGCTATCATACTAAGTTCCATAGCGGCTAACTGATCAGTGGCGATCTTCGGTCAGTGCAGTGGCAAGCCTTCTTAAGATTTCTTTAGCTTTGATCCTACAACACTCCTTCGAAAAGTGCTCTGATACTGAGTTGTAGAACAGCCGTTTACGGCAACGAAAAAAAAGAATTCTATAGGAAAATTCATTACTCGACGAGGGAATTCCAACCCTAATTACATTGCCTATGGCGCCTGCAGGTTAGTTAACTTGAGCCCTCAAGAAAGAACTGAAAAGCAACATGACTAATCCTGGGGGTGAAAGGGTTAGAAGAATATTTTCCGCTTAAAAACACTTCAAAACATCGAGAATCATTATTGTTTTCTTTAGAAAAGTCTGAGTCCATTGTCTGTGAGGTGTTTCTTAAACGCTGACCATTCTGCAAAAGAACCCCAAATCATTGCATGTTCATTCAACGCTATATGACGCAAAGTTCTTAACTCTTTTTTAGGGAAGCTACGCTCCGTGGACAGCCTATGTCACGCTAAACGAGTCGTTTTCAAAACTAGCTTTCGATCGAATTCAAGATCCGTTTTAGCGTATTCAAAGCCAGACAGGAAGAAATAAATGTTTGAACGCAATACCTATACTTCTACTCACATTTTCAAGAGTATCACTAAACTGAAGAGTTTAGCTCTGGAACATTTCGCACCTCATCTAAGTTCACCTTATATCGATCATTTATGTGATAGCGAAGTGTTGTAAAACATCCATGTCCATCTTAGTCACGCTGTTCAAAAATGCATCTATGGTTGTTGTTTTTTTTTTATTAATGGCAGAATGGGTATTTCATCAGTCTATTCAAAGAATACAATTCTTTTTTTCCTAAAAGATCACTGTTTAAAAAAAGTGGTGTTATCTAATGGATTGGCGTGACCTGTCCTCGTGGCTTAGTGTTACTATTTTGAAGAGGAGTTACATGATCACTCAAGGGGCTAAGTGGGTTAAAACAATATTTTTAGCCTAAAAGTATTTCAAGATATCAAGAATCATAACGTATCCAGTACTTTTTTGCTTTTTTTAAAAAAAGTCAGATTACATTTGCAGTGGCGTGTTTGTTGCACGCTGACCACTCTAAATAAGATCAAGGAAACGCCACTAAAGTCATTACATGTTCGTCAGATCTCGTAGCCTTTGGGACTGCTCTATAAAGGAGCGATGTGACGTAGACAACCTACGTCACGCTTAATAAATCCGCTTTCTAAGTTAGCTTCGGATCGAAGGGATATCAAAAGGAAATAAAAAGGGGAAAGAAATTAGGTAAACCGTACAATTCTTTGTAATAGGCCATTGAAGATCATTTAAAGCTATTTATATACAGAACTCTTTGAAGTTGAATTGGAGTAACTACTTCTATCACTGTTAAACATAAAAGTTTTTCAACTGTCTGAGAATTACACGTAATTTAAAAAAGTATCCCTTTTGCTTAAAGAATCTCCTTAACACTTTATGTATTTTTTCCAAAAGTTAGAAACCTAAATTTTTCAAGTTCGTCGTCAACAATCCTTGCCCCATTTTGCTTTGATATTATTTCATCTTTGTGTTTCAGTACTATCTCAGTTTGATAGACAAATTAAAAAAAATAATAATAAAGATAGCTCTTTTAAGATTGATCAGACAATTAGGTCCAACATTAAAAAGAAGTTCTTTGCTTGGGGTTGGTAATTCTGTTCCCTTAAGAGTTTGTTGTGACTAATATAAATGTAATACGAAACGTTTCAACTCTATTTTCTCGCGCTCAATACCCATCGCATTAAGCCAGCTGATGGCAAATAAATATTTTCAATTAGTAGATTATATTCGAACACTGTTTAGCAATCTATATCCACGAAACAACTGACCTCCCGTTCAGCATGACATGTTTTCTGCAACGCTCATGCAGGCCTTTGTTTATAGTAACAATTTAGAAAAGCACTCTTAACAACTACACTTAATGTAGCCTAAAATTGAACAATTTTTTCCTCAAAACTTCAATCACTAGGGAAATAAGAAAAGGAGGTTTCAGAAGTTCCAGTCTGAAGAGAAACATTCCTCCATTTTCATTTGATTATCAGGTAGTATCTCTACTTCAAGACAAAACTTCAGTGTTAATCTACGCCTTCAAATCCTTGTGTATTCTCAATAGCCAATCGCAATTTCTCCCGAAGTTCGTAGTAAGTTCTGTACCGAGGAAGGTCCAGCCTGTTAAAACTGAGGAACGAAAGGGAATGATGAGAAAATAACCTGGAACTGATCAGAAATGTGTTTATGTTTAACAGAAACCGGAACAATATTAACAGCGACTGTTTAGTCTGATCGTCCGGGAGAGGGTAGTCCTGAGAAGGACTGTTGTGGATCGACAAACGGAGCAGAAAGCCACCGTCAGAGTCAGTTCTCGACGGACGTACAGGCAAACAGAAAGACAGACTTAACAGTTACTCATCATCAGTGACTTCAAATAATCCCACTAAGACGTGAACCAAGATTTTAAAGCACGCTATCAATTAAACCGCGTCTCACACAAGTCATAATCCGTTATATAATTTACTTACGACGACGAAATGAGAAAATGCTTCTATACATTTTAACTGAGCAGGGACAAACGTTCAGTGATTGTCTTTACAAGGAGAAAGTAATACACTTACCATGTGTGGGCCCTTGGGAGAGAATGAGGGGTACCCCAAGGTTCAATAGTGAATTTCTGAGGTCCATTGCTACCATATAACTCGGCAAACCCGTTCATAGGGACACGTGATGTTCCCGTGACAAACTGCAAGAGTCTGGCGCGAGTCTCCAGGTCAAAGGACGCCACAGCCTAGCGGGAAGTAACACACAATCATTACATTGCTTTTAAACGAATAACACGTTCGGGCATTTGAGGACAGCAATGGTGTACTTCAACAAACGCGTTTTCCTCTACTTGCAACAATGTCGCGTATTTGGTTGGCTATATCGCTGTCGGGAGTTTATTAAAAAGCCAGACGACTACAATACCGTTGACGATTTTCAGTTCGTGTCAAGACTGCCAACGGTTAAGTCAAATCCCATCGCTCGCAGTTAATGCAATAAACAGGTTAGGACACAAAAACAACTTAAAGCGACTATTAGAGCACCTAGGGTATCACAAAAGGGTTAATACATAATCTGACTAACTATTTCATAAAGACCACCAAAACGTTGTAAATGGATACATACAACCGCGATCCTAATTCCTGCAAGACGATGTACAGTTTACACTTTTTTCTTGCATAGCAACAACTGCTAAGGAATGTGCATACCTTCCAAAACCACACGATCACGCTGTGTTTATCACTGTATTCTCCGCGGTAATTCGTGTTCCTGCGCCAGTCATTGATGTCGATCTCACCCAGGCCACACATGAGGAGCTACGTGGGAAACGTGATGAGCGAGAGTGAGGAGATCAAGCATTACATGCATCATTCTTACAGAAGAATGTCTCGCTTCTGTCAGTCATTTAAGGAAAATGAAACCACTTATAAATAAGAAAAAACTAGCGCTGGGGGAATACACAACGAACTGAAAGTTTTTTTTTTTCCATATTTCTCTGACTTCCCCTTCACATGACAGTTCAAGAATGAAACTCGATCTCAGTCCTTTTCTATACCCGCCTCAAAAAAGAACGACTTGGAGCTTCTCAACATCAAACAGGGTTTCGTTGCGTATCCCACTAAATAGATCTCTTAAACTTGAATGTTTGTTTCCCATTTCAAGTCACGTGATAACACTCCAGAGAGCTGTTACTCTCAAATTTCCTCTTATTCGCGTGCATATCAACGCATAATGAACAAATGATAAGGCTAGGAATTCCTTGGGAGCTAGATTCATAACTCCTATAAATTACTCAAGAAGAAACATAATACCCACCTCTAATTCTCTTTCGTCAAATATTTGTATCAAGTTGTGAGGTATAAGCTCGCCAAATCCCTAAAAGAGGAAAAAAAAGTTTCGTAAACACAAGAAAATGTCAAAAATGTGAAATCTTCAAAAGGACCCTTGTACATGGCAGTAGCAACAATCAAAGCAAACAAAAAAAAATTTGATACACTTAGCATATAATTACTGTGTTGACTTTAAGTTGATGCTTATTTGACATTGTGTCCTTTCACAAACGAGAAATTCACCAGAACAAAGATTTACCTCCATAAACTTCCTCATCTGTTCCTCGACGCGGCTTACAAATCTCCACTTAATGACAAGGCTGTGAAAAGGAAAATAAGCCTGTCAGGAACACAACTTCAATGGCGAAACAAAAGGAAAAAGTTCACAAGCAAACACAAAGACCGACAAACGCATGAATACCAAACTAGCTGGGCCCAGTTGTTCGAAGGCTGATTAGCACTAACCCAGGGTTAGATTTTTATCCAGGTTTCCATATTTCTCTGATCAAAAGCCGTTTTGGAATAGTTTTCCCAATTCGTTTTAGAACATTTAATCATCAAATTGTAGACAAATGAAATTAAGCTGAATTTTCTTTGAAAGCTTTCAGATCTGAAATCAAATTTCACACTAACAACCCTTGGTTATCTTAACCCAGCTTTGAACAATCCGTCCCTGATGATCAAGCTCCAGTTACTTTCATAACTGGAGGAGTTATATTATGGTTCAAAAAGGAAAGGAAAACTTCGCTAGGCTCGGTAAAGCTGGAAAGATATGTTATGGAGGTGCCAGAGATGTGATGAAATTTTTGTAACTTATTGCAGTTCTGGTATCAAACTCACTTGATGTACTCTCTTTTGTTTGCATTGGTCACTTTAATGTCTGATCCACCAGGCTTAAGATCTTTGACCGTTACCTTGAAGTATAAGACATAACATAATCTTTAACCATTGTATCACGAAGAATAATACTCACATGTACAGGTAAGAATCGAGGAGCCAGAAAGGGCTGTCTAGAAGGATCCGAAACCAATTCCCAGGTTTGATTATATGATGCGAACAGGGGTATTGGTTCGGACGAGGAGGAATTCTTTCCAAGGTTAATCATCTCCCCCCAAACCCCTTACCAGGGTTCGTACAATTTTGACCTGTTAAAATTCCATGACTTTCCATGACTTTCCATGACTTTTTCCATGACCTTTTGAAAGATTCCATGACAAGAATGCAGTGTGAAAAAATGTTTGCAAACATTCTCACACTGCGTGCTTCTGTTTATTTCTAATGAAATTAAATCTGATTTTTGGACTCGTCAGTTAACTTTTCAACTTAGGGTCTTATTGTCTTTCACTCATAGAGAGCATATTGATTTTCCATGACTTTCCATGAACCACACCTAAATTTCATGACTTTCCAGGCCTGGAAAATGAAATTTTGAAATTCCATGACTTTCCAGGTTTTCCATGACCTGTACGAACCCTGCTTTCTGTTCAGGCCCTACAGTATTTTTACCCTGGAGTAGCTTTGGGGCTATGGGGAACAAAAGTCCTTTCCAGGCCTGGGATTACGTTTGTTTACTTATGACTAATTAAAAAAACAAAAGAAAAAGACTGCAGCGCTTCTTCATACCTGACCAAATAACTCTTCATCCACACTGAAAGTCAAGTCTAAATCCTCAGGGTCATTTTCCAGGATCCAATTCAGGCTGTTGTAGTATTCCGAGTCCTTAGGGAAAGAAAATTAGAGGTCAGTAATTCAACACCAATGCTTCCTTTATCAATCAAACACAACACAAAGAGGCCTATGATGATTGCCCAGTCCGATTAAAGGAAGCGAGCGATCAATTTCAAATTAATTCTTCGCCATATCTTCTTTTTTTTTGCGTTTTCATTTTGTTACAGGCATTTTTGTTCCCCACGCTGTGCTAGGTAAGTTTTTTCTCCTGGCACTGTAGGAGGCGTCAGTCGAGAGTGAATTCTCACTTCAGAGAGTGAGAATACTTACCAAGAAAAGATCTAAGCTAGGTACAAATCAAGTTTTATTAAATTTGATCGCCGGCTTCCAGACGTTTAAGAGGTAATTATTATCCGTTCGTGTTGGGAGAAAATCAAAATAACAGTAGTCTTCCGACATATTGCGGAAACAAAGCTTACCACACTCTCCATGTCCACCAAAGTGATGGGTTTGCCCAACATCATTTTGTAAAATGGACGAATAAAAAAGGCTGCAACAACGATGAAAACAGGAAAACATATTCATTTCAAATAATAAAAAGAAAATTAAACGACAAAAAGCCGATAAGGGAAACAATTGCGAAGGCAACTATAGCAGCATAAAGCTTTCGAAAAGCATCTAAAAAAACTGGTATTACCATCAAGTAGTTTTCCATGGTAAACGGCCATTCCAGCTAGCCGGCCAATAAACTTGAAATAGGACAAATGTTCCTCGTTGCACAAACCAGAATTTGGGTTTATCTGCAGCGTGTAGTTATCGCTGGAAGGTAAATAACAGAATACAAAATCAAAAACTGGGTAAGGAATCTACAGTATGAAACCACATACCAATGTTTTATCGTCCGTTTAGTTAACGATCGTGAGCGGTGACACAATTGCCCGCGGCTCGTAAGCCACACCTTTCTATTTTTTTCTAATAACATATTTTACGGGATCAGTGAGTCAGTGATCTAACTACAGCTGAATGGACACGCAGCAAAGTGGAATCTAGTACGTACAGCTGTAGACTGTTTCACTTACCTGGCTGAATACTCAAATAGACCATAATAGGGATTGAACACTTCCTTGGACAACAAGTAAAACCACTCCCTGTTTGAAAGAACGAGAACAAACAAGGTCATCTGTGAGCAACGCATTAGACCTCTTCCATTATGAAACTTGGTTATTAAAACGACAACGTCTTGACCCTTTCAATCTCTGTCATATGGGGTTGAAAAGTAGTAATCTTGGGGCATACACCGAATCGAAATATGGCGTCCAATTTGAATTGCCATTGTTCTGGGGTCACTAGCCTCATCTTCACGTGGAAACACGAACGGGTTATCACATGTGTGAGAAGCTTGTGAGTCCAGAACGATGACAATTCAAATTGGACGCTATATTTCGACTCGGTGTATTTAGTCAACGCCCTGAGCCTATTCAGTATCCAACTACTAATGCCAAAAGTACCGGTAACGACGACGGATTGAGGGAAGTGAAAACCTGCCATAACAGCAAAACGGGTTTAACGAGATGCTATACCTTTGAAGCCCTCCATAATCAAGGCCAGTTTCCGAATCAAAAACAATCCAGAGCCTTGTCTTGAGTAGCTCGGTGTTGGTGACAGTGACAAAGACACCTCGATATGAGTCCAGCAGAAGATTGTTTCGTCTCACATGAATTTCATATTTATTGGGAACGTTAACCTGCAAACATCAAAAAAGAAGGCAAAGATGGATTTTAGCGGCCCGTAAAAGTCAGCATGACTTTGTTCAGAATAACACTCTAAAAGCATGAGCTTCTACTATGCAACTTTAAGATAGACCGTTGATAAACAAACGTAATGGGAATCAAAATTGATAAAAGGGAAAGGAAACGTTCGTAAATCAATAGTCCTTTTTACAGTTGTGGGCTTGGTGGCCAAGCCTTTGAACAGGAGTGAGACTTAGGGTGACCTTGTTATGATAGAGATGTTGCTGCTTTTCAAATGCAAATTACTTTGTTATCATGCTAACTAGATACAGGTCTCTATCACAACAGGGTCACCCTTAGCCTCACTCCTGTTCAAAGGCTTGGCCACCAAGCCCACAACTGTAAAAGGGACTATTGAAATCAGCTTAAACTAGTCTTTATGAAAATATTCTAGAACTATTAAGATGTTTTTTTTGTTTTTTTTTTGGTGTTTCTTCGTTCTTGCATTTTCCTATGACGATACAATAGCAATTAAGTGTAAATTTGCTTCGTAAAGTGATATGAAGTAAGTTTAAATTTTCGCCCTCGCATTAAGAGAAGGCCAGCCCATTAACCATGGGCATGTCTTCTTTGATTCTTACCGGTCTCTTCAGCTTGGTCCTGAAGTAGTCGCACTTTCTCTTGAAATCCCGAGAGTAAGGCACAGCCTGGGGAAGAGGAAATACAACTTGTTAAAATATTTGCTAACCCTAACCCTGAGCATTATGTCAATTACTAAGTGCGTCATTAACTCAATTCTAATAACCTACTAATAAGCTCCCAGCTTATTCTAGCTGGCACGGTTTCCGTCATGGTAAAAATTCAGACACTGGTTTTTAAGTATTTATAGATTGTACTGAAACAATGATCGAATTCGGTATCCGCAACATAGCGGGAACTATTCCAGCTTTGGGGCCCGTTTCTCAGAGGTCCCGGTAAATTACACCTCCTCATCTTGAATGAAAACAGAACAGCTTTACAGGCCCGATAAGTCACCGGGACCTTCGAGAAAAGGGCCCCAAATTGGTCCATATTATCACCTCAACCTTTGGCTTTGGCGGATAACACAAGCCACGGCTGTTATTACACCCCCTAACATGTTTTCTCCATCTAGTAATTTTTCTTGCAGTATGTATATATTTTATTAAAAACTGGATCATTGGATGATGCAATCCAAGACTTTTTATTGGCTTAGCCATTAAGGTATATGAGCCAATATACAATAATCTAATACCTGTACATTGTAACATCCGGTTTCTTCTTACAAAATAAGTCGAAAAGATTAGTCTAATATCTTGGGGGCGTTTTTTTAAAATAAAACAATTAATCCACTCGCGCTTGTTGGATATGAGATGATTATAGCCAACTCGGCGCTACGCGCCTCGTTGGCTATCTATCACCTAATATCGAACGCGCGCTCGTGGAATAATTCTTAAATATGAATAAATATATATAAATATATATAAAGATGAGTTTCTGGAGTCGGACTAGTTCAAAAACATTTAATTGCCACTCGGAGTTTCATGCTTCTAACGAAGCAATCATCGGGCAACTGGCAACGAGATACAAAATTGAAAAAATGACGTGTCAAGATGCGTCCGCGCGCCGAAAGTGCTTAACGGTCGAGTGAATCTAAATTACGTAAAGGTGTTCCTTAACAAGAATTTCTTAAGAGTGTTTACATGTCGATGCCATTTCGTTCCTTCGATTGAGTGACGACATTTGTAGTTTACAAATTATAAAATATTTCTCCCAAAGGCAAAGATTACATTTTGGTTGACATTTGAATACGACCTAGCTTGTTTTACTTTCCTCCACCTAATTTAAAAGTCGATTTTCCGTTCTTTTAGACTCCATATGTGCTTGCTGAGTTCGGTTGCATTTTTGTAGCATTCGTTCCTGAAAGAACATGTGTGGTTTCTGTAGCGCTCCTTGAATGATGTGTCACACAGTCCAATGTATATTTCTTTCGCCTGTGGAGTTGTGACCTCCGCTTGATATATGATGTTACGGATGTTACAACTTCTTCTCAAGTGGACAGTTATCCTTGTTGCGGCAATTGCAGCTGATTTCGACTTCATCTGATTGTTTTGATGATTTGCTAATTTGGGCTTTGCTGTGATTGGAGATAATGTTTTTTAAGTTGGCTATACCGCCGTAGCTCAGCTTTAGAGTGTTCCGGTTAAAGATTTTGTGCAGCGGGTTGGATTTAGGGAAATGCTGATCAATTAGTTTGAGGAAGCATTTACCGATTTTTGTTTCAACATTTTGGCTGTATGGACGATTCTATCACAGGATGTTCCTTTGACGGTTCTTGCTCTTTCGTGACGCATCAGGGGTTGGTGTTTTAAATGACAGGTTGAATTTATAGCCACTTTATTAAGTGCCTCTTGGTATGGACCTTTGGCTTTGTCAGAGCAATCCTTGTCTGATGAAATAATTTGGATATATCAACAAAGTTGAAATGGTAAATTGGCCACCGTAACGATTACAAAAGCTGACGTTTCGAGCGTTAGCCCTTCGTCGGATGAAATTTCCGAAAGGCGCTTATTGATGGTTGCGGGAATGTTTCTTAGAATAGAAGGTGGGTGGTTAGAATGCGTGTGTATGTAGAGCGGTGTGTTTCCTTCTTTTGTGTATGGCGAGTACTTTCCGCTTTTCAGATCGAGTGTAACATCCAAAAAATTGACTTTGGTTAGGTTGGCCTCTACTGTGATCTTCAGATCATTATCACGGAAAATTTTGCAAATGCCTTTCTTAATTTTTTCGATCTCTTGAGGGGTTTTCTTGAAGGCCGACAGGCCGTCATCGCGATAAAGACCGATACTATTTCCGTATTTCTCGGTGAGGCGTGATGAGATGTAGCAACCAACCAGCTCACAGGTTTCTGCGCCGTCAAACGATCCCATGGTAACATCGAATCGGTCGTTGGAGGTTTTCTTCTCCCATGGGACGTTTTCGCTGAACAGTAGTGACCTCTTAGCGCGGATTATTATGTCCCGTTCATGTTCGTTAATGGGTCGGTAATTATTGGCGAAATTCAGCGCTTTGCGCAGTAGCTTCTCTGTTATAGACGGGTAAAAATCAAATTTGTATCTCTTTACATGTAACCGTTATTGTTGCCAGTTGCCTGATGATTGCTTCGTTAGAAGCATGAAACTCCGAGTAGCAATTAAATGTTTTAGAACTAGTCCGACTCCAGAAACTCATCTTTATTCACCGCTCTGGTCAACCATCGAGCACTTTTATAGCATATGAAGTCTTTATTTTCAGTTACTACTGGTGGTCATATAGATATATATACATCTATATTTATTAAAAACTGGATCATTGGATAATGTAATTCAAGACTTTTTATTGGCTTAGCCATTATGGTATATGAGCCAATGTACCATAATCTAATATCTGTACATTGTAACATCCGGTTTATTCTTACAAAGTAAAGTCGAGAAGATATGTCTAATATCTTGGAGGCGTTTTTTTTAATAAAAGAATTATTCCACTCGCGCTTGTTGGATATGGGATGATTATAGCCAACTCGGCGCTACGCGCCTCGTTGGCTATCTATCATCTCATATCCAACGGGCGCTCGTGGAATAATTGTTAAATATATATATATAACTGCAGACAGTACTGTTTCGGCCTTCTGGGCCTCATATATATATATATTCCTCAGTTTTAGATGATGGTACAGAAACGAGGTAAACTAGCACAGTATCTTCAGCCGAGAAAATATTTAAGCTTTAATCTAACCTGGGCTGGTTTGCTGTTAATCTGAATCCGAGGGTCTTCCCACTGAGTAGATTTTGTGTCTACAAAAAAGTTTAATAAAAATCAAATACACAACGATTTACATTGTACGCACATACTAAATCAACTGTTGATATTAAACACATGAAAATTTTCATTCTGTACAAACTGTTGGTATCACGCTCATACATCCCTTGTTACACCGTAATACACTTTACAAACATACACATGTATGTGTATGTTAGACTCATCACAATTGACATGCTAAATGGAAATGTTTCCACGCATTCCAGTTACAACTCGATCATAAAATGTAGTCTCAGGAAACGCGTTTTACATTTTTTACTGAGTGTGGGAAAAGAATAGATCGCAGTTGCGGGCGGATTCAATCAAGACTCTGTGATTTTCAGGTGAGAGGTTCTACTACTCAGAGAACTCGTTTAAGAGTCCGGCAACATGCTAGGTTTATTCGTAACAAGCCCGCTGCATACTGCTCGAATCAGCAATGTTTAAAAGCAACTACTTACTATGATCAATATAGAAGACTCTGCCATCTTGGTGGATTCTTTCCTCCCAGCCGTCCTAAGAAAGAAGAGCAGATTAGATTGTTACGGCGTATTTTGATTGAGTGTTGTTTATTTCAAAGCCAAAGTAATAAGAACAGCCAATCAGACTAAAGAAAAATACCACAAGGAGCCCGGAAAAAAGCTTAAATTAAAAACCAAGGGAACAGCCCGAAAAAACGGGAAAACGAGAAGTTATCTTACTGGTAAGGGTCCAAGATCTCGGCTAAGGGCCGCTGATCGTCCAATTTCTGGTGACATGGACGGTCCTCCACTGGTATGGTGATGAAGCCGAGGATCTCGCTAAGACAAAAAAAAAAAATCATTAAGGTTATTAAATGCAAAATAGCAGAAGTCCCCTCTTAGAAATTATTTATGCCTTTGAATTTCCCCAAATTTGATGGTTAATAACGCACTCGTAACCGGTCCAGCTTTTAACAATAAGGACCACAGCCCAGAACTTACAACAAAGTGAAAAAAAAAAAAAA